CCATCCCCCTCAGCATGATCTTTAAGCTGCAGAACGCCTTCTGGGAGCACGGGGCCAGCAGAGCCATGTTCCCTGGCTCCCCCATCTTCTCGCGAGCTCCTCCGCCCAAGCTGCCCCCCCAGCCCCAAGCACCTCCCCAGCCCCAGCTACTGCCCCAGCCCCAACCACAGTCCCAGGTGCCCCCACAGCCCCAGTCACAACCACCATCCCAGCCTCAGCTCCAGCTTCAACCCCCTGCCCCAGTGCCCCAGTTCCCCCAACAGACGTGGAGTGAAGGTGAGTCAGCAATGGGGAGTCCAGAGGGCTTGGTGAAGGGAGGTCCAATGGCTGGGGACCCGACCAGCAGAGGGAGCCATCACGGCCCAACATCCCAACACCTGTTTTCAGAGCCTGTCCCTGCAGAGAGCAAGGCCAGATAAGCGTGGGAATTGGGGGAGGGCGGCGGGCTAGGGACAGACAGCAGGATGGTTAAGCAGGGACTCTGGAGTCAGACAGCCTGGCTCCATGCTGAGTGACCTGGGCAAGTCACTTCGCCTCTCTGAACCTCGATTTCCTTGACTGTAAAAGGTGATGATAGAACCTATCTTATATAAAGTCCTTAAACTAGGGCCTGATGTATAGTAATCTTATAGCTATCATATTCGTTATAATAATTATTAATGTTTTCTGGTGTGAGACCAGTACAGGGCCTGGAGTTGAGTGGATTGGGTCTGAGCCTTTCTCCACCGCGGATGCTGTGAGATGCAGGATAAATCAGTTAACCTACCTGAGCTTCTATTTTCTCAGCTGTGAAGGGGGATTAATAATATCCGTTGCACAAGTTCTGTTGGGAATTCAGTGTATAATAATAATGTGTCTAAAGCGATCATTATTATTTCTGCCTGCTTTTAAAGCTCTGATAGAGAGGAATAAGGCAGTCAGATGAGACCAGCAAGGCCAGGATTCTAGTCCCAGCAGGAGTTTTCTCCTGACATGCTAGGAGAAGAAATACTTAGATGCTTAGAACTTCACATCTATCGTGATGGTAGGAGTACAGAGTCAGAACTGAGGTCGCAACCCAATTTTTTTTTGTCACTGGGCATCTGATTTTCTGTCTCTGAGACTTGAGTTTCCCTTCTGTGATAAGGAGGTGATAGACATGTCTACCTCACAGAATGGTGAGGTGAGAGTTCACCAACACAGGCGTGTACAGCACCAGCTACATGCTAAGTGCTTGATAAAGGGGAAATGGCACGACAGCCCAGGGAACAGGTAACCCAGAGATCAAGGAACTGCCCTGAGGCCACACAGCAAATCAGGTGCTGCTTGCAGGTTTTGGAGGTTGTGGGGAGGGAGTCTTGGGGGCCTCCTGAGAACCCCTCTGATTTGCCTCTGTTCCTTCTAGGCGCCCCCAAAGCCCCTGCTGAGCTGGAGCCTGAACCAGAGCTGGAG